GGACCAAAAGGAACCATTTAGTTTTGTGCACAGAAAAAATCTGCCTTCTTGCCTGCTGGCCGAGTTGCTTGTTTTTGCACAGGAATTCTAATTTTAATTGTAAAAATTTTTTTAAATTGTATTTGGTGTTTTATATATTTGTATATCTTTCAATTTTTAATGAAGATATTTTGAGTTTTTATTATTTTTGCATTGCACGAAGTGAGAACTGAATTAGTTGAATGAGGGATATATCTCTAATTATTTTCGAGGAACTACGTGTTTCGTATTAGCAGCAAACATTGTCGCCAGTCTGTCTCGGACAGAGGAGGATGTTTACGAGTAGCGCATGCGCATTAGGTAAACGGAGCGGAATCTTTTGTGAAAAACTGTTTCATTTATATTTGTTTAATTCCTTTCATACATTATTTTAAATTTATTACAGTATTTGAATAGAATATGTGGCAATGATTAGATAATTCTTCAGATGATACAATTTCTGTGCATTCTGAATTATAAAGTAAATGAAGTGTAACGCTGTCAAGTAAACCTAGCGCCAGAGTGTCGCTGTGGTAAATAAATATAATGAACTTTAAAGAGTGCATTTATTCTACCCTGGTTAATGCGTTATCGACGAAGTACATTTAATTCAATTCAATAAGCTTAAATGAAATGCAAGAAAAAATGCATATATCTCAATATTTCGTACGAGGAAGTCATGTGGTGTATACATCAGATTTTTTAATTATTATAAACAGTTTAAGTAAATAAAAGATGCTTCTAACTTCATATGTTACTTACCATGGTACCGAATAATCGTTTGTGCGATACGTAACAATAAATTCTCAACACTAAAATCTTTCTGAAAGACATTATATATATATATATATATGAGAATTTATGTTCACTAAGTTATTTATAATGACAACTGAACGAAAGTTAGAGGATGTATGTATTTCCCTCTATCTGACGTGTAGTGCTGAGATGGTTATTACGTTTGACGCCCGAATGACGTTCCAATTTTTCTTCTCTTTCTATAACCTGCAGATGACAGACCTTTTCCTCAATCCCCCCACTGCCCTTCTGTCCTTTTAATTTCATCCCCACCTTACATAATGAGGGAAATATTTGTATCACCCAATTTTCATTCAGTTATTAAAACTAAAACAGTGAACTTCAGAAATTTTATGTATAGATATATATGTATATATTTCTCTCTACAATGTGTTTGAGAAATATTGTACTATTAAGAATTTATTGTTAGGTATCGTGCAAGCGGTTATTCTGTACCACGAAGCAAAATAGTACATATCGTCAGAAACATCTTTTATTAGTTAAACTTATTTACACTTGTAATGTTAAAGTAACCAATTTAATTTTACGTCTTTCCGTGTTCATCATTAGAATGCAAATTAGTTTTAAGTACATTTAAGTTGAGGATTTCGGATCTTACTGAGAGAGAAAGTTACCATCACTCGCATTAACGTTGTTAAGATTCTGCCAGCTCTATCTAAATGTATGACTACCTCGGCTTTGCATTCTCTCTTAGCCAATATTACGAATTTACGCGCCGGTAAATTATTTAAGCCAGTTGTAACTTAGTATCTGATTGTATACTTTATAAATGTTTAAATGTCTGTTATTTACATTGCCATAAGTAGTGGTTCATCTACAATCCGAGATGTGCATGTTTAGTTTAAAAGTTCAGTTTAATAAAATGTTCGTTTAAACAAACCTTTGTAAGTCTTTCTCGTACTATTTCAGACATAATGATAACTGGCTACTTATCTACTAGGGTTATAGACTCGAATATGCAAACCAAGACAACATTATATATTAACTACAAAATGACACAAATATTCGAGACAAAAATTAATAAACCGTACTTTTATTTCTAGGTTTTAACTTTTCTTTTGTAGTGACATCTGAATCACTTTTCAAATGATGGAGCCAGAACTAATAATAACATTGAAGTGTGGGATTCTAATTTATATAAAGGAGCTACCAGTCACCATTTGAAAGTATTTTCATCGTCTCAACTTCTAAATCTAGACCAATCAGAAAATGAATCAGTCATGATGATGCTACGTTTCCCCAATAAACTACGGATATCCCAGTTGAAATATAAGAGAATTAAATGAAAAATTAAAGAAAAAATTATTTAGTAAGGGAATTTTGCTAGAAAATTATATAGATGTTGTATGTTACGAAATTCATTTGTTGTAATTCTGGCTATGCATTTTTCAAATTTTACCTGATTTTGTATAACGTGTTATAAATGCAAAATGCTTTTTTTAAGCATAAATATTTTAATAGTTTGAATATAAAAATTTCCTTTTAACGTAGATATTTATTTATTGACACAGAATACACGAGTTTAGATTAGAAGTAATAAAAAAAAAGGCGGGTTAACTCTTTATGGTAATAGTTAAATAAGTGTAATAGCATCTTTGACAAATTAAACTTATGTAAAATAATGCTTATTTTCATGCAACAGTAAGACATTGATTTTCCCTCGTATTGTATTCTGTGTCAATAAATAAATATCTACGTTAAAAGGAAACAGTTATATTCAAAGAATTTTAAGAATAAATATGTAAGATGTTGGAGATGTGGTTCTGAAGGTCACCTACGACGGCATTGCAGAACACCCCAGGGGCACGGATAATGAAACGAATGAGTTGACAAGACCAGTGAATGTTTTAAGACCGGAATAGTGTGGTGAAACAGAAACCGACCCTAAAGTGCTGGAATTGCGGTGTTGAAGGCCACCTACGAAGGAACTGCAGAACCCTCCCCAGAGCACGGAAAATAAGGCAATACGATTTTTAAACAGACAATTAAATGCCACGGGAAGGAAAAGGACTGACAAGAAACCAAAGTGCTGGAACTGTGGAGCTGAAGGCCACGTACGAAAGAATTGCAGAAAACACCCCAGGGTACGAAATTGAGACGGAAATTAAGACCATTTCTGAGCAACGACGCAGGAAAGAAATGAATGACCATATCAAGGAACGGAGGTTGCCAGATAATGAAAAACCCTGTTTTTAAAGCGCTTAAGATCTCTATAGTGAGTGGCAACAATAACGGACTGTCCATCAATGGGAATATCGATGGAGTTCATTGCAATATGATCATTGACACAGGAGCTAATGTTACCATCATTAGGAAAGATTTAGCTGAACAGTTTTAAAGATAAACTTATTTGGACGCCATCCTGTGTTACCCTTCAGACTGCGTCTGGTGACAAGATCGACATAACTGGGAAGTTAAACGTAAACATCACGTTTGGAAGTGCCGCCTACCATCACACGGCATATGTGGCGGGATATTACAGATCCATGCATACTCGGATTGGACTTTTTAAGGAAATACAATTTTTCCTTAGATTTCAAAAACAATAAGCTGCTTTCAGCATCTGATGGCATGACTATCCATCCTCAAAAGGGATCCTCGCCTGGAAATGTCGACGCCTTGTCCGAAAGATCGAGCTTGGGAAGCTGCCGAAATCATACCAGGGTCGAAAAGAAACTCAAGACTACCAGCTATTCTCCATCCCAGAAGCTCTTCGGTCGAGACCTTCGTCTGCCTTGTGACCGCCTGTTTAGTCGCCCTACGGATGCGCCTTCATCGCCTGAGGAACACATCCAAGATGCCCAGGCCCGGTTTGAGGGGATGCACCGTTCTGCACGAAAGCGAGTCAACTTGGCGACGGAGAAAATGAAGACCAGATGCGACACAAGAGCTACTAGACATAGATCCAACAAAGGAGACAAGGTATGGTTGTGGAACCCGATTCAACGAAAAGGACTGAGTCCTAAATTACAGTCACCTTCGGATGGTCCATATACAGTACTGAACACGAATGACGCCGTGGTTCGGATCCGTGAGTCTTCGAACTCTTACGACAGGTAGCTCATTACTATGGCCATAGTACGTAATGTAAATAATTGTAAATAGTATCAGACCATGGTCCTTTTTGTTTTTAAATGTGTATTTGATTTGATTTGTATTTAGTATTTGATTTGCATTTAGTATTTTATTTGTATTTAGTATTTGTTTTGTATTTAGTATTTGATAGCATTTGATTTGTTTAAGTTAGTTATTGCATTTATTGTTTATGTTGTTTGATATTGTAATGTAATGTTTATGCCTCAGTTGCAATTATGCCACAGTTGTAAGTTTAGCTTCCTGTCCAGGGATTGTACTGCCCGGGACGTGCAGTCCTTGGGAAGGGGGCAGTGTTACGAATTTGGTATTTAAAAAGCTAATGTTAGTTCAATTATAAATTAAATGGTTTTATTTCTCGAGCAGTGCAGCGCGTGACGAATATTAAAAGAAAGCTAAGCCGGAAAATTGAACATACAAGAGCGCGTGCATTAAATAAATAAATATCTCTTTTGATTTCGAGAAAGTACTGAAAATTCTAGCGCGTGATTTTAAAATCTTATAAAAGGAGGAAAACATCTCAGTTGTGTAGTAGTTGCTTAGTTTGTTGTTGTTTAGAAAAACTACTGTTGTTGATTGTAGCGAATTCGCGGATTAGCGTTCTTTAGCTGTTTTGAATTACGTTCTATTGGACATTTGAGTAGTTAAAAGATAAGTACTGTGAGATATTGTAATACTGCATGATAATTTGAGAAAATTTAAGCATTTTTGTTGTGATAATAATAAATTTTTGTTCATTTTTCATCGGACTTGTGCATTCATTTCATAACGAACCCGTACGCACGCAACATGCTATTTGAGAAAAGAGCTCAAAAAGAGAACGTTAAGGAGATTAATTGGGTCTCGCAATTAATTCCTTTATTACCTCACGATGTAGCCCAGTTAATAGTGGAAGAACCAGCGGATGAAGGGGATGATTATCAGCATGTTAAGAAATTACTCATGGATAGATTCAAGCTTAGTTCTTGGGCGCTAAAAACAAAATTTGAAGAACATTCTAGAAAAAACGGAATATTATGGGTGGATTTAGTGTATGAATTGAAGAGTGTATTTAGAGATTTGGTTGGATTCAGTGGAAGTTCAAGATTTTGAAAGTCTTAAGGAGCTTATGCTCACCGAGCAAATTAAGCGGCGAGTACCTCTAGAAATAAAAGAGCACTACTTAGACAATTGGGAAGAATTTAAAACAGCTTCTCTTTTAGCAGAGAAATACGACAAGTATGAGGCTTTGCGAAGAGATACGAGGGAGTTAGAACAAAAAGCGGGGTTAAAGATACCATTTGAGAAAGATAGAGAACGGTATGTAAGTTCCAATGGTAGTTATAATCAGAAAAGTAGTGGTCATCAAAGAATTTAATCAGAGGAGCATAGAAAAGTGGAGGCTCCTAAAAAAAAAAGCAAGCTTTCAATGAAGCAGGTTTCGAGAAACAGCGAAAAATAAGGTGTTACCAACGTGGAAAGGACGGACATATCCGACCTAACTGTCCATCGCTGAAAAAGAATTAGGCTAATCTGGTGAATAATCTAGGAACGGAGAGTTTAAGAGAATGTTTTGGTAAAAGTTTACAATTGGGTGCTCCTTGTTTTTTGGCGATTCTTTTTTGACGTCAAGATCGGCGCCATGAACGCACAATTTCAAGATGGCCGCTACATAAAACCCAAATAAAAAGTCAAAGAATTGCATAAACTCTGTGTCCATGTACACATTGATCTGTTTTCACTTAAAAAAACATCCCAGAATTGCACGAACTAGGCATTGCGCACTGCCTTAAATCTGTCCATGTACACATCAATCTATTTTCATTTTTTAAAAAATCAGGAAGCTAAAACAAAGTCAAAACTATCATGGTAACCATAAATGAGGTTTCATCGCCAAAATTAAAAAAAAAAAATTATCGCTAATCGAAGGGGCACCCAATTCTACACTAGAGCCAATGTTTTGAGCCGTATTTCAAGAAAGCAGTAATTAATAGGATAGAGAGGTAATATCTGAGAGATACTGGAGCTGGAATAGATCTGCGTAATAGTACTTGGATTAATACTAGGGACTTACTACGGGGAAACTGTATGGGTGAAACAGCCTTTGGACACAGAATGTAAATGTTTACCTTTGGCGAAAGTCACCACTGAAGATGATTTTGGTGTTGTCACCACAAAGGCAGCAGTTACTCCGGTAGAGTAAGATACAAAGTACTATTTGCTAGGAAATAAAACTGCACAGTTGATGAAGGAGGAAATTAGGGAACGACTGGTTCTCTTGAATGCTGTGGAGACTCGTAGCCAGGGGCATGCGCGCAGGAGTTTAGAGAACGAGTGCAGAAGACTTAGATTCCAGATCGGAAGGAGGGAAAGAGATAGAAAGTGAAGGGGTCGAGAATAATGAGCATTCGGAAGAAAGGAGGTTAACCAGTAATGCGGAGAAGGGCATTAAAATTCCAGACATCAGTTTAGAAGAAAGGTTTATCCTTGCGGATGTTTTGCCAGCAGAATTCTGGGAAGCACAAGCAACCGAAACTCATGATAATGCTCAACACCAAATAAAATTTATTATATCGCATACTGAAGGAACACAAGATCTGCAGAATTCGATATTCGAAAAATCCACTTCTATCAAGACGTTTCTTCTGAGAAATTGCTTCCAAATAGTCTTGCTGTAGAAGTGATGTTCAATTATAATGCTGAATCAAATGCATATGCTATATAGAGTGCAATGTATAAGAAGACATTACCAGCCATTGGCGAGTTTTCTTTGGGTGAACTGACAAAACTTAAAGTCAGGAAAAAGAAATTAGGACCTCATCCAAATATAGTTGAAATGTATTTTGCTTTTGCTGATCAAACAGCTCTGCTTCCTGGTGCCTTTACTAACTATCCACAAGCCCTTCCTGTTCGTCTTCTGAGTGATGGATGTGGTAGAAATATGACTCTATTTCTTGTTACGAAGAGACACAATTGCAATTTAAAAGAATATTTGAAAAGAATAGATGTTTCTGGTCCTACATCATTGCTACTGTTTACTCAGCTTTTGGAAGCTTTAGTACACTTGCTTCAAAATGATATTACTCATCGAGATTTACAGACACAATATTTTATTAGATTTCCAGTATGGACCCTCCTCTCCTAGACTTGCAATAACTGACTTTGGGTGCTGTCATGAAGGCCTCTATTTAATTCACAATTCATATGATTCTGAGAAAGGTGGAAATATAGCATTAATGGCACCAGAAGTTGTAAATGCTGAAGCGTGTCCTATCTCAGTGATTGATTATTCGAGATCAAATCTATGAACAGCAGGAACTTTAGCACATGAAATTTATGGATAAACCAATCTTTTTTGTTCTGTAAACTGTTGTTTGAAAAATGATTTTTGTAGCGTTTGGGAATTATATTTTTGTAGATTCAAATTTGTTTGCATCGTGTATTTCATATTCAAAATGGTTAGAATCAAATATTTTGCGTTAAGTATTAGGATTTTGTAAAATTTGAGGAATGTACTTTGTATGAGGCAGACGATAGCAGTAGTTTAAATCTTTTTGTTGTATTTTTGCGTTTACGTTATCTAGAAATAAGTGCAGGGTATGTAACTAGCTTCTCTGTTATCACTTAAATGGTTACCACTTGTGTTTTGAAAGCAGTGAAAAGTATTTAGAAGTTTTCCTTCCATAGTCAAGAAAAATTCCTTTATGAGGGAAGGAGTTGTGATAAGGTCACATAAAGGAAGAAGAAACTGAATATTAATATGGTCAAGGATGTCTCGTGAGCAGCATAAGATGAAAATTATTATTTAACTTCCGAATACGTTTTCAATAGTTGTTAAAATAGTTGTTATTAAAATAATTAAATTGTTGGCAATGTTAAAAACGCAGGCTAGAGAGCCACGTCTTGCTCTCGCACGTAAAATGTATAGAATTTGATTTTAGAGAGGATAGTTTTTTTTTTCTTTTGCTGATTTGATGTAGCCATCTTTTTTTGGGGGGACGTTCAATAAAATTTTCATGCGGTGTTCCATCATTAGAGTTTTCATTGGAGTTCGACACCACACCGTTGAAGCATTAATAGTACACCACACCCTAAAATCCTTGCTTTAGAAAAAGTCACGCAAAGTCAGTTCTTAATGGAAGACTCGCTATTCGTATTGGGAATTTTCCATACGTTGAACACTAGTCCATTTACTAATTCGGAAGTCAACCAACAAAAATCAGCGTTATATTTACAAAATTTTCACAGGACTAGTTTCGATGGTTTTACCGAACCACCATCTTCAGCTGCAAAACTGCAAATGAATTTGCGCAAATTCATTTGCGGTTTACGGTAACATTTGCGGTAAAACCATCGAAACTAGTCCTGTGAAAATTTTGTAAATATAACGCTGATTTTTGTTGGTTGACTTCTGAATTAGTATTTATTCGGCGTGTTATTGTGTCTTAAGACTAGTCCATTTGTAGATGAAAAGCGTTCCATAACGACAACCCTTCGTGTCTTAGCAATTAATCAAAAGCCAGTTTTTCAAAGGTAGACGGTCTAACCGAAAAATATGATAGTTTGATTAAAAGGGGTCAAAGTGGCTTTTGATCCGGCAGCATCATTGGGCCATTTTTCTTCAAAAATGAGCAAGAAGCAGCCGTTACTGTCAATAGCAAACGTTACCACGCTATGCTAAACGAATTTTTGTTTCAAAAAATTAAAAAGGATCACATGGGTGACATTTGGTTTCAACAGAACGAGGCCACTTGCCACACAGCCAACGTAACTATCGTTTTTGGAAATGCTGATGTCAACTGGCCGCCTCCGAACTGTGATTTGACGCCGTCGGAATTTTTTTTTTTTTGGGGGGGGGGATTCTTAAGGATAAGTGTTACGCTAACCATCCAGAGACGATTGATGCCTTGAAACAGGAAATCGAAGTTGCCATTCATGCGACTGGAGCTCAAAAAATCGAAAATGTACTGAAAAATTGGTTGATCAGATGGGGTACTGTCAAGCCAGCCGTGGCAGTCATTTTGAATGATATTGTGTTTCATTCATAAATGAAAATGATGAAAACGTCCAGTCTTTCTAATAAACTCCTAATTTTGAAAAAAATATTCATTTTTTTAATAGCTGATTCAAATTCTAAAAGTTAGATGGCCTACCCTTTATATTCCATTATAATTTAAATCTGATTGTAAATCGACCCCAGGAAATTAAAACCAGAAATAAATAAGTAAAAAGAAAATCATGGCAACCATACTAAATCTAATCCAAGTGCCTTTTTTTTAATCTAAGAAAATATTAGGAGGTAAAAAGAGCTTGGTTTGTAGTTGAATAAACATGGTAATTGTAATAAATTCTATAAGCCTAATAAAATACAGTACCCACATCAAATAAAAAGTGAAGTGTAAATTATAGTGAGCGATATTATTTATCATGAAAGGATGGATTGATAACTGAAATTAAATTTCCATATTTCTGATAAAACTGAAGAACTACCCAAAATACCATTAAAGGTTCTTTTTATTGAACCATTCTTTTCTTATAACTGATGCTATAAATGTCAGTTTTTCTAATCTTCCCGAACGAACTGGATATATCGAAGTTTTTATTGTTTCCCTATGTGTATCGTTGACACTGGCCAGTTTCCTTGAAAAGCCTCTTCTCATAAGCACGAGTTGCGTTTTTTTAATCAGTTAACCTAACCTAATTTCTGATTTAAAAGTTGTAATGATATTCATATTTGTTGTCGACAAGCGATCAAAAGGCAATTCAAAAATAGATCCTAAATGAGTATTCATCCTACATACATATTTTAAAAAACAATAACCATATCAATTTTTCCCCTTCTTGATTATGCACCGTTGTAAAAGCTAACCTGATAACATATGCTATAAAGCTAGAACGATTGAATCACAGCTTCTGCCTCCATTTCTCAAGTTATGCATACGCACTGGCCACTCGCGAATGTCTGATTTCTTCGGTGTATTTATGCATTTTTTCTTTTCTTGCTGAATTTGGCATATTTAATCATCAGCAATTTTTTTTTTTCCTGGGTGTGCAATGAAATTTGGGTTGAAGCTAATATTTAATTCTGAGACAGACAACCAATATTTTCTCTATTCGCCATTCTGCACTTGCGTCTAAGCGTAACCACCTTGGCGCAGTTTGGCAATATCTAAAAAAAAAAAAAAAAAAAAAATAAACTGAAATGTTTTAGATTTTAAATTACGTCCAAAGGGGCGTTTCTTAACATTTTGTGGTGTTACCTTTCTTTATTAAATATCATGTTCCTCGCACTTTAACCATAAGATCCAGTGCAACAGCAATATCGCAAATAGTTTTAAAAACGAGCATATCTTTAGAATTTCCGATACAGAGACTCACGCGCTGGAGATAAAAATGTTTTTTCTGCACAACGTTGCCATTGCTCGCTTGGAAATCCTTGAGTTTGTTAATCAAAAATTCGTCAAGTTTTAAAAATTAGGAAATCGATCATAAAACAAATTTCAAATTTCAAATTTGGTCTTCCACATGCTCATATTCGTTGGAGGATTACGTTATTCAAAATTCGATGACTCTATGTACCGTTGTTTTATCACAATTTTTCATTATTTAATTTCTTCAAATATAATGCAGGACTCTAACATTTTGTGGCAACAGTTTGAAAAGTGAACCGACATTTATGAGTCCGACGCAAAATGCCAAAACGAAACTAATAGTCCTTCGGGATTCAAATCCCTTTGGACTAAAAAAAAAAAAAAAGATAAATTATCAGAGTAAAAAATGTTACATAAATACTTTACATTTCAATTAAAAATGTATTCCAAAAATCAGCCAATAAACTTTTAGGTTTAATTATTATAAAATTAGTTTAGTTTCTGTTTCAAGCAAAATTTCATTTTCTTCTGTTTTAGCATAAATTTAGTGGTGATCGTTTAATAAATCTATTCAAATAATTGTTCTCTTTAGTAATTTTACTGAAAATACTGTAGTTCTGCAGAATTTCAAAGCAGTTTCTTCTACTGCATACAAATGCCACAAGTGCATTTTTTAAAACTGAATTTAAGGATAAAAATATTATTTCTTTTTTATAAAACCTATTGAAATTTGGAATACAACAAAACGAATGAAATTAAAATAGTGGCTTTGCTTGTTAAAACTGAAGAACACCCAGGGCGTGATTACCAGAATTTGGTGCATTCTTAAAATTTAATTACTTCTACTAAGGTTATTGCGCTAATAAGTAAATACTTTCAGTTCTATATTATAAAGCGAATCATTTAACATTCAACTCATATGTATTCGTCAGTTCACGATATCAAAAGCTGAATCATTATTTAATCGATATAGCATTCTTCGCATGTTGGATATAAAAACCCTTTAATTCGAAGCAAAAAAAGTAATTAAAATAAAATACTAAAATTCCTTTACGAAATAATTTTTAGTTATCAAATTTCATAATATATCTGCTTTAAATTCGTATTATACAACTAATTTCTTCAGAAAAATTAGTATTAGGGGAAAGTCTGAGATCCTCTTAGAATTCAGCAATTTTCAGAAATTTTGCAGAAAGTTTATAAAAAATTTTCATTTGTAAGTGCCATAATATGCATAGCAAATCTCGAAATTTTGGTCATTCAGTCTCTTATTTGAAGCTTTGATTAAAATAATACAAAATTCGGCAGATGGGACAAGGAATAAACAATATAATTTAATTTTGCAATAAAGTGTTAATAACGAGGATCGTTTCCAAGACATCAGAGTTCATTTCAGAGGAAGAGGTGTATGTGATAATATAAATACTAGTGAATTCCGGCAAAGCAGTGGAACTACACAAAAAAGCCGCTCGTGCAAAAATATAAAACAAATATTACCAGAGACGTATTTCTAAAAAATGCAGCTAAATACCCCAACCCTAAATTGCGTCTAAATTGATTATTATTTTTCATTACTTAAAAGAATTATAGACACTGATAGGTGCGGATCCATTTTCAAGATCCAATTTATCGGAATGGCGCAGAAATAATTTAATTAAGTTAAGGTTTCCCAGCATAAACTCTCTGGAATAGACTTTTAATTCTAAACTATAACTATACCTGGACGTATAAATACAAGCAAGGTGGTCTGGACGCTGCTCAAGAATTTACATCTTAGCATTTAGAATTAACGCACTTCACACAAGACGGTATAAAATTGAAAAATCTGACACTTAGCCGTTGGTAGGCTGTTCAAACCAATCGTATGCTCATGACAGCTCTCTGTAAATATCAGATGTATTATAATTCTCTTGCTCATTATTACATTATTATCAAAATGTCCTTTTATCGTGTTAATTGTATGTCGCTAATTAGGGCTGATCCTGTGAGGTATCAGCTTTACGCATTGTCGATACTATAATAATGGTGTCTCTTTATTGTATTCGTAACATTAATTTTTCTTACTTTATGATTATGAACTAGCCCACTAGATGTTCCAGCTTTTTTTAAGCTGTTGAGTTGCATAATTTTCCCCATATTCTTTTTTTCAAGTGGCATAATTAGAAATAATATTTTTATTAAACAGAAGTTTTTTTTTTTTTTTTTTCGCGCAGGTCCATAAAGATTGACACAAACTGAATTAAAGAAACGAATTTAGAATGGGAAAGCCTGAGGTACTTGAATACAAGAATACCGATTGCCAGAAATCTTAGTTTTTAGAAAACTAACCCTCTCGGCCCAGGAATACCAATTGGCAGAAATCTAAACCCTCTTGGCCCTGATGGTGGCGTTTGCCATCTTCGTATGTAGAAGTCTATTTTTTCTGTAGTGTAAACTGCTTTACTATTCACCGCCAGAAATCTCATCTGGCGGCTTGTCCACGTGTGTTTTCCTACGCGTATTTACTTTTGAACTTTGTTTGTGGAACGATCTGTAGGGGTGTTTGTGCTCCGGGGAAACCCGGAATTCCGGGAATTTTGAACTTCTCCGGGGTTGTCACACAGCTAATAACTGTGCAAAAAAATTTGCTTCATGGTTTGATAGATACTTAGAAGATTTGTTTGATGACATCTATTTTGATATGAAAAGCTGCAGTAAAAGAGAAAGTTTTTTCAAAATCTGTGAATCCCTTGCCATTAAAAAACTTAAGCCCTTGAAGAGACCAGACCATAGGTGGGTGTACATTTTATATGTTATAGAAAGAATCAAAGATCTGTGGGATGCTCTTATTGCATTTTATTTTCACTACTTCGATAAAACTGATAAAGGGGATTATTTTTCTTATGTTGAAACTGTATACAATAAAAGAAATATTTCTGCAGCTCAGAAAAAAATTGTTTTGAAGGGTGTATTCTTGCTTGCATTCCCAACAACTCACCAAAGGGATGCTTTAGCTCGGGAAAAAAGAATACTAAATGGGTTATTTGTTATGCAAAACAAAACTTTATTGCATATATGGCATTATATTCAGCAGTATTACCAGAGTTCAACACATATATTAAATTATTTGAAACAAAAAATAAATAAATAAATAAATAAATAAATAAAACAATGCTTCATTTAATACATTCCAGTATTTATAAATTGATGGCAAAATTTTTCTATTTTTTTATGAAGCCAGAAAATATAGAGTGCACATCTTATAATGATTTATTAAAGGTTGATGTCACAAATCCAGAATTCCATCTACCTAGCAAAGTAATATTTACTGGTGCAGAAGCTTCCCACTCTCCTGAAGAAATTATCAAAAAATCATCCAATAGCAAAATAATTCCAAATTTCTCTGATGATGAAAGCTTATACTACTATACAGCACAGCATATGAAAACAGAAATTACCCCTTAAAAATTCATATCTAATTAGTTTTACAGCATTAGATCCAGAGCTAAGAGGTAAAACCAGTACAATATTAGCTTTTGAAAAATTATCATCTTTTATGTCCCATATTTTTTAGTGATAATGAAAAGTCAAAAGTAGAAGCTGAAATAAGGGTTATACCAGAGTGATATTGATATCACCAAAGAAATGCTCTACACATCTGATGAAAGTGGAAATCAAGTCAAGTGTACAATTGATAATATTGGTCTAAAGTTTTTAATTTAAAAGATGATTTCACAAATGATTATAAGTATCCTACATTGGCTAAATTGGTCAAAGCCTGCCTTAGCTGCTTCCATGGCCCATTAGTGGAAAGTGCATTCAACTTAATGGATACACTTGTCACTGACTATAGAACCTCTCTTAAGATTGATTCCCTAGATGCAGTGCAGACTATTAAATATGATTTAATGGCTTCTAAAGAAACCTCATGTGAAAAATATGGCTCAAAAAATCCAATGACTGATCCAATTCACAAAGATCTCTTACTGAATATGAATAGAAGTTGGAAAACATATCAAGAGAACTTAAAAACATGTATTTCAGATGAGTCACCTATAAAAGTCTCTGAAAAACCTTCTACATTAGCAGAAAAGCAAACTGCTTCTACCTCTGCATGTGCAGTTCTCGAGGAAATTTCTTCAACTGTAAATGAGGAAAATAAAAGTTAACCTTCCTGCAATTATGAAGTTCACCACAAAAGAAAAGACAAGCCCACAAACATCAGAAATAAAAAAAAAGCAGCAGCAGAAATTAGATAATTTTTTTTTTAAAGAATTAATTCAGGTAATTTAAAAACATTTACATAAATGTGTGTAGTAGTTTATATGTTTGAAAATTTATGGTTATTAATTTTGCAAAAAAAAGTAATTCATTGAACTTTTATAATTAGGTCTTCAATACTTCATAATTGTAATTTTTCATTTCTCTCCCCTCCCCCTTCTCGAAACTCCAAAATGTCGGTAGTAAGTCCGTAAAAGTTTCAGGAGATTTTTTGGGGTCCCACAAACACCCCTGGATCTGATAGTACGAAGAACTTCAGGTGAGTTCTAACATCAATGGACAACATTTTACAGACCTTCTTTTTTTTTTTTTTTTTTTTTTTTTTTTTTTTTTTATCCTTGAGCGTCTCTAAAAAGAATTCAGAGCTACAGAAGGGAAACGTTAGAAAGATTCGAAAGAAATTCCGATTGCACTTTTCCTATAGTTTGCTTACTTGCCCAAACAAGTTTCAATAAGCTGATATTACCAGCAGGGTATACAATAAATACATATTCAGATACTCGAAGCTTCACTCTTTAGTGCATTATTCGTCTTTTCTTTAGTTCAGTATTAATGAAGGGATTAAGTGTTTTTACAGTTTCATGCTCCAAAAAAACGACCAAAAAGAAGTTCATTATTATTTATTATTTTATTTTATATATTTATTTATTTATTTTTATTTAATACTCATTTTCTTTGAAATTATAGTTCATCATCAGTATCCGCACCTGCGACATGAAAGACACAGACGGTTTTGGTTTAGTATGACTGAAACTACACTCCAAGATGAGAAAATGGTTTGGGCAGAGTTGCGGATTTACAAAAACTTGACTGAAAATCACTTGCACGTCAGAAATATTGAATATACATTAAGTTTGTATGCAGTATCTGAAATTAATGCTAAGTAAGATTTTTTTTTTTTTTTTACTTCACGTTTAATCATTTGAACATCTTGTAGTACAGTAGAACCTCGATTATTCGAATTAACTGGGATCATAACGACCTGGGGTAATCGAAAACTAGATTAGTAGGCACGAAATTAGAGATTTTTCCAATTTTTTCCTCACGAGGTTTTTGAAATTGTTTATTTGAAATTCTAAAAATAAGTAAACAAATATATTATTATTAATTTCTGGCCAGTCCTATTTTTTGATCATATGGCCGGCTAGGAGAATCGGGCCTGTGCCCTTATAATGATAATGATTATTATTAATACTCTATTATTATTAAATAAAGTTTGTTACATTCTATTAAACAAATAATCCATGAAAAATTTTATTCCGTAGCAATAATATTAATAAAATGCTGGAATAAGCAAATTCAATCACGTTTTACAAAACAATGAAATTTTGTCATTTTTTTACATGCATTTTAATGAGACTAAATTTCCTCTACTCTTTTTTTCTTCCCCTCCTTTTACTGTGATAGTCCATTATAACTACATGTTTTTTTTTTTTTTTTTAAATTTATTTAGATGTCTATTTTATTGGTAGTATAGATTGTTGTACTATTCACTGCCGAGACTTCATCTAGCGGCTTATCTGTAACTGTTTTCCCACCCGTATTTGCTTCTGAACGCTGTTTGTGGAAGGATTTAACAGTATGAAAAACTAAAGTAGGAATTTTTAATATATTGCAAGGGAGTTCTTCTACTAACACCTAGAAACAATATTCCATAGACTTTTTTTTTTTTTTCCTGCGCGCCTTTAAAAAAATTCAGAGTTGAAATGATTAATTATTGGGTATGGAAGAGAAACGTTAGGGAAGAATCCGAAGAATTTCCTGCATTGCACTTTTCCCATAGTCTGCTTACCTTCCCAAACCAGTTTGAAGGAGTGCATACAATAGACATATATTCGAATACTCGAACAACAACTTACATTTACCCAGTAGGAAGACTACTAAATGGCAGATCAAGATCGATCACTGATAAGAGAATTCTTAGTATTTCCCAATGATTTCTTTACTGATTGCTGGCTCAGTTAACAAAGACCTCGGTTGTTAGAGATTCTACTGTACATAAATTTCTTATTTTATTACAGAATAGTAATTTTTATAATTGGTTAGAAAGCTAAAATTGAAGCAGTGTGCAAAAAGTGAACAATTAAATTATTCGGTTGATTAAGTCATTTTTAATAACTCGAGCCTGAAATTTTCCATCATCCAACCGAATAATTTGTTTTCCTGGTCTATAAATAAATTTTTTTGTTTATATACATAACTAAAAGATTGCTATGAAAACTCTTATTACCCTCTGAATGTAATTACTGGAAAACATTTCGTGTTATCCAAAACTACAGAATATTCTTTGAAGAATAAAATGATGTCTTCTATGTACATAACAAACATTTATTTAAACTACGAAGACGTTGAACAGCAGAGTAGAAACATGATATTACACAGCGCTTAGCCCTTCTCGCTTACATGCATTACTCACCATTGACTTTGGCTAACTGCCTACTAAGTATAAGTATTACGCAGCAGAGAACTTGCTTATCATGCGCATGCGCTAGGGGAATCGACGTCGGTTGCCAACATACCCCCTTTCGACGTTGATTTCTCCTATTCCTGAAAAGTAAAAAAAAAACAAAATACATATTAAACAGTATTCAATCCTACAATTGTACAACAGTTTTGATGTTTAACAGGAGTCAGGGGTTTGGTTAACACATCAGCTCCCATTTCACTGGTAGTTATGTACTGCACATCCAATTCACCGCGTTCATACATACTTCACGCACAAAATGATGGCGAATGTCTATGTGCTTTGTACGGGAGTGAAACACTGAGTTCTTTGTAATTTTCTGAGCTCCTTGATTGTCGCAGTATATTGTTGTTGGGTTGCTCTGTGTTGTAACCCAGTTCCTTCAGGAAACGACACGTAGGTAGACAGTTTCTTTGGCGGCCTCAGACAGAGCCATAGATTCCGCCTCCGTTGAAGATAGAGCTACACTGCGTTGTTTTCGTGATTCCCAGGTTATGGCTGAACCACTTAATATATATACAAAACCTGTGTAGAGATTTTCTATCATCGACATTTGATGCCCAGTCTGCATCCACAAAAGGGCGATGAGTGGTTTTCCTGTTTTCGTATAATATTAGTCCTTGATCTTGGGTTTCCTTTAGATATCGAAGTATTCGTTTCGCAGCATTCCAATGTTCTTTTCCAGGATTGTTGTTAAATTGACTTAAGAAATTCACGGCGTATGTGATATCTGGCCTAGTAGCTACTGAAAGGTACATTAATGATCCGATCAGATTTCTAAATGGAACATTTTTCATGTCAGCGATTTCGTTTTCGTTTTTAGGACTCATCTCTTTTGATAATTTTTGCTGCTATCTATAGGTGAAGACACAGATTTAGCATTTTGCATATTATACCGAATTTAAAATATCATCAATGTATTTCTTTTGAGAAATTTTAATTGAATTCTCATTTTGGTAAAATTCTATTCCTAAGCAATAATGTAATTTTCCCAAGTCTTTCATTTTGAAAGCAGGAGCTAAACTATCGCGAATTGTTTCATACGTTTGCTGAGAATCGGTGAAAACGATAAGATCGTCTACATAAACGATTATAATAGTTTCACTGTTAGGCGTCTTTTTAATATAAACACAATTATCTTAATTGTGTTTTGTTGCGAAATAAAATGATCCACCGATTGATTCAGTTCTCATGGGACCACACAAATCAGAATGAATTAGATTCAACAATTCAGTACTTCTATATTCAGATTCTTTGGGAAGAGGGGTTGCGGTTTGTTTACCCTGAATGCATACCTTACAAGTAGAAAGAGAGTCATTTTGAGAAAAAGAAAGACCTCTAACCATGTTATTTATTTGAAGTTTTTTTAAGATCATTTTCATTTAAATGGCCAAATCTTATATGCCACTGATCTATTTCTTTAGCAATTGATACAGATTCAAATATTGGTATGACAAAATAAAGGTAATTTTCGCGTTTAGCCAAAATTACTATTTCGTTATTAGAATTAATTATTTGAGCACATTTTTCTTTGAAAATTACTGAAAGATTATTTTCAGTTACTTTAGACACTGAGATTAAATTATTTTTCAAATCAGGTACACACAATACATTTTTGAGTTTGATATTTTCAGTTTTAGAACCTATGCGAACTTTAAATTTAACAGTTCCTTTTCCAATAGCTTTAACAGTTTTATCAGCAGCTAATTTAACATAAGTATCACCTACCTCGTGAATTTCTTGAAACAGTTCCTTGCTGTTACACATATGCGATGTTGCACCACTATCCAGACAAAAAAAATGGCTTTAGAATTAGTATTAGTGCATGCTACGGCTTTTTCTTGCTCCAGGGAATTCTGATATTCTGCAGACATAGCAGTTTCACTGAGGCGTTTGCTTTTAGTTTCTTTATTTTTCTTCATACATTCCGATGCTCTATGCCCATAGATATGGCAGAAGTTGCATCTGTAGTTAACTGGATACTGTCTTCGGTTTGCAGATTTATCTGGTTTCGGTTTAGGAATCGGTCGTTGAGTATACTTCCGATCTTTTGAATAGCACGCATGTTGTGGTTCAGAAAACGTTGAATCTTTATTTTTACGAGCGTTAGCTTCTTCCAACAGTTTAATTTTCAGCATTTCTGGAGAAGGCAGTTCATCACGAGATTCGATTGCTATTCGAAAGCTTTCATAAGAGTCCGGTATGCTATATAAAAGCAATATTGTAAGCAAATCATCCGCAATGTTTATTTCCATTTCTTTCAGTTTGTCCACAAGAATGAAAAAATCATTTAGATGAACAGTCATTTGTTTAGAATCACTCATTTTTGTAAAAAGAAATTTTTTTAGAATTGTGGCCTTTCTAGCTGGTCCCTTCGATTCGTAAATAGAATGCAATTTACGCCACAGTTCGTGAGATGTTAAGGCTCGTCCACACGAGTACGCTCAAAACGTAGCTGACGAACGCGCTTTTACGTTACCAGCGTAAAAGCGTCCAAACGAGTACGCTTGCGAAGAGTGCGTTTAACCAATAGAATTATTTTGCGCAAAAATCACGTGACGCTGTAATATAGCGTCAACAGAGCTGTATCTTATTACTTCGCTGTTCTTCTGTATGTTTGCGGCAAGTTGTCCGAATCAGATGATTTTTTTTTATAGCTGAAACTTTACTATTATGTGCAATTATTAAGCAGAGGCAAAACCGCAAAAAATGGCAAGAATGGGTCCGAAAGATTTATTTAGAGCGACCTGTTCAAAGAGATTTTTTTTTTTTTTTTTTTTTTTTTTTACTGCCTTGTTTGCGAAAGGAATATCTGGAATTATTAAATTCCTACTATTAGCTCACACTCTCCCTACATCTTGTTCAAATTTTCAGTACATAAAATGCTTTTTATTCATCCACTCAAGTTCAAATACAATTTTTTAAACTTGCAGTGAATGACACTTGATGTTAATACAGCTTTTTCACATATTAAAATTTTTTAAATTATTAATTTTAAAAAATTATATTTGTATTTTTATTTATTTATTTATTTTTGTATTTTTAAACTTTTCTTTGTGGACCTAAGTAGGAATTGACTTAATTTTTTTGGGGGGGTATATTACTTGTTTTTTAATTCCTTCAGGATGAGTATCGACCAGTTTGACAGACTTGCAGATTCTATATCGTATGAAAATTAGGATTTATAAAATTGGTTTGGAATACAGTATATAAAGAGAATTAAATTACTTAATTCTCTTTATATACACCATCCACCATATAATAAAACCAACTTCATATTTTTTTAACTCGCTCTCCCTTGGTCTTTTGTTTTTCTTTTTATTTATTTTTGAATTTAGAATGAGGTTCAAACTTTGGACAGTTTATGAGAAATTATGTGCATGATAAAATATGCAATAAAGTAAAAATAAAGAGAGAATTTATAGATGATATATGATAAAGAGATGCAGATATATTTTACATAAGGATTTCTATTTGCACTGCACATTTTTAAACTAAATTAAAAACAATAATAATAATGAATAAAATAAGAAATGAAAACAATAATAATAGGTAAAATAAGAATATAATGATTCATGATTAAATATAAGAAACACGTTTCAAAAATGAGAAAAGCCAACTGAATAATACCGTCTACGAGTGAGGTTCGAACTTGCCACCTTTCCATTCCTCCGCCACCAAAGCAGCGCGCTGACCACTCAGCTATCTGTGATAGCCGCGTTTGTGGAAAATAATGTAACAAGTAGAAGTCGCTGCAAAGGTAATTTAATTAAACTTCAATAAATGATTGCTGTATGACACAAGTTGTAACTTTCCTCCAAAATTTGTAATTGTATTTTATTGAATACTCTTTCACAGTCAACTGCTTTATTTTATAAGTTATTATATTGCTGAAGTTAGTTTTTGGTGTATTTAATATTGGGATATTTATAGAGTTTTTTTTATTACACATGATATAGCCAATATTTATAATAATTAAGGAGAATTTTGTAAGGCAAAAACTTTGATTTCGTAGAAACTGTAATTTATTTAGGTTCCTATTACTTACGGGGTTATAAATAGGTGAAGTATATGGATATAGTGGTCGGATCATTGCTTTATAAGTATACAATTTTCCCCTTTAATGTGAATTTTAAATGTATACTAATATGTACGGTTTGAGAAATCTGAAGATACGTGAACAATGCTGATTATTTTATTGCTGTATACAGTTATATTTCTAAGCAAAAACTCATCTCTGTGTGGCTCTGACGCCATACTGAAACGGGTAAGCAAGAAGGTTTTCTGATTATTACACGTGATAAGAATTCGGTCGGCTATTGGCTATACGCGCGCGTCGCGGTCGAAAAACTGAACAGGAGCGTACTCAGTTTTACGTCTTCTGCGTCCTGCGAATTTACGCCGGCGTCAAAAAAGTTACGTCAACTACGTCGGGAGCGTCCTCGTGTGGACGGGCCTTTACACAATTCTTTACTTGTGGAAGTTCACTGGGTAAGATGGATAGGATTATATCCGCTCGTGCCTTTTGGTCAGTAGTTTTCATTTAGCAAATTCTTCATCACCAGGTTCTGGTTTCGGAATTTTCCCAGTTACATAGTCCCAATGATCATTTTTAATCAGTATTGCTTCCATTTGCAACTTCCACGTATCAAAGTTGTCCTTGTTTAGCTTTTCAATTGACACTGTATTAGTCGTCGCCATTTTCATTTCAGTCGACGCAGCTTGGCTTGCCGAAAGAATTTAACAATGGTAGTTGCTCTGCACAGTTAAGCGCTATCTGGGCCCATAACCTTTGAAGAATAAAATGACGTCTTCTATGTACATAACAAACATTTATTTAAACGACGTTGAACAGCAGAGTAGAAACATGATATTACACAGCGCTTAGTCCTTCTCGCTTACATGCATTACTCACCATTGACTTTGGCTAACTGCCTACTAAGTATAAGTATTACGCAGCAGAGAACTTGCTTATCATGCGCATGCGCTAGGGGAATCGACGTCGGTTGCCAACATTCTTAAAAACAGGAAACAAATTTATTTGAAAACAAAAATTTACCTTGTTTAACTGCCTACTGGGCCTCTCCTGATTAGCAATCTGTTTCGGCAATTCTGATCCAGTAGTAATCTTTGGTAGAATCTTCCGTAGAATTACTTTGAAGAACCGAATCCTTTAACCGAAGAATTCAAAATCTTGTTTACGCATTTACGTTGCAAGCGCTTCAATGAATCGAAAGGAAGATAGACCGTGATCGTAACCTACGTTGTCAATGAGAGTAATGGCCGTTTTTCCCTTGGCATCCCTCGTGTTGTCATCAGACAATATATGAACAAAATTCTCATCAAGGTTCCAGCTGGCTCCGAGTTGTTGAATAATATTGCAGAATGCAATATCCGTTTTCTCAAAATCACATATTAGTCAACAGCAGATACAACACTGCACGCGGAGTTCTGTGATTGAGTATGTTACGTTGGTATAAAGAAGTCTTCCATATTTCTCGGATTATCCGTGTAAACTCTCCATTTTAATTCGTCTTAGAATCAAATCTAAATCGAGGTCTGGTTGGGCATAATCCTTTACAATTTTCAACGTGGAAAGAGAGTCCTAAGCATGAAAAGTCATTCGATTTTTATATTTCATATAAGCAATTCATTTTTGAATATTGCCTGATTTTAGGATGAAACTGTATAATGATTTTAGTCCTAATATGACCAATAAAGTTTTTTGAATAATTATAACAGGGTGATGCATTCACATTCAGTGTAGCATTTATATTTAAATTCAGGTTTGACTAAAGTGTTTTTGCAACACTATCCACGAGTTACCTATTTCAAGACTTACAGTGGAACTCTGTATTATAACGGTATATTCGAGCGGCCTATAAGAATATAATTTGCTGGTAAATTATACTAAGTAAGATATTACCAGTGTTAAATAAAAGTGTGTAGCATGTAAAATGTACATAACATATCAAAGTACTAATTAAAATAATACACAGCTTGTTACTTTTTCGTTTTTTCTCTGACATACGTTATGGCTTCTGGTATTTTAGCGTAATCTTCAGAAGACAACAAATGAAAAATATATTTGTATTTGGTTACATCGGCTGAAGGACGAATATAGAAGTTCATGTTCGCAACTGCGGAAGGAAGATTGTACTGGCCTAGTTTGAGAAGTATTTCATTAAGCTGTGATATGTAATGTAACATAGCAAGGCCTGGCGTTATCCATGGATGTACAGGTACCGGCTTTGTTCAACCTGTACCTCTGGTTATAGGATGATCTTAATGGACTTGCATATGTTTACCTTAAATCGGTGTGAATTTCGGAATGATTTTAGCCAAGCAGTATATGTATATAATAGTTAGTAAGAATTTTGAAGTTCAACTTCAGGTGAATACTAGAATGAAACCTTTTTAAGAATGTAAATGTAGTATATTTATACCATATTAGAAAAGATCTGGTGACCAAATTTTCGAATATAGTAGAAACTGGGAACTTAAACGGATATTTAAATGTCTTGAGCTTCAAGTCTTTCTGTAATAGTGACTGCTTTTAATGTAACTGAGAAATTAATTCTCCAAAATTATAAATGCATAATCATTGTAGATTAGTGAAATTGGACTTTTATCAAATACTGGTTACCATCTAGTCGGTAAATCCGCATCTAAACCTTCCCCTTCAGAAGGGTTCAGAATCATCCTGTAATGTCTTATAATTCCGTTTTACTCTCTTAAAAACTATATGATATTGTTATTACACCCTAGACGATATATAACATTGGTTGGTAAGGCGATTAGCAGATGCTCTCCTCATACGCTGTTTTTCATACTAACCATATTCCAATCTCAAGCATGAATTGTAGCGAGTTTGCATAATGCGGGTACTCAAAATGAATTGATCCGAAAATTAGAAAAAATGAAGTAAAAAATTCTTGGATTCCCTTTCTTGGGGGCTCTCAAGTCAAAACTGCAAGTAATCCTCACGTAATTCACCTAGAAACTTGCTTTTAGAGACCTACAAAAAGTGCCATGACTACTCTCTGAGATTATCTTAATATGCATTAACTTTTGTTACTAGACTTTACAAAGCTTATTTCTAATAGTACTGCTGTAGAAAACTCCTAACTTTTCAAGCATTAATACAATATAAAATTTAGATATGTATTTCACTGCATGATTTCATAGATTAACTTTTGTAACAATGCTTAATCTTAAATTTAAAATACGTGTCATTTTAGTGAAGAGAAGTTAGATTTCGTCGATGAAATAGTGATTTCATCAGAAGATGCTGGATGGCTGATTTTTAATGTTACTGGACCCGTTTTGGAGTGGATAGAATTTCCAAAGAGGAACTTAGGCCTGGAGTTGGAGATAAGTTCTTCCAGTATATATAAGTTTCATACTTTTTTAATCATAATTTTTTTTCATACTTCCATGTAATCTAAGAATCTTAATCCACATGAAACAGAGTTTTGAGGGTACATCAAAACTCTGTTAATCAGAAATAAACAATGTTTACCTCGATTTTTGCCATTTTCAACATAAACTATGCTTACTGATTTTAGTTCATTTTCTTCTAAGTTGGAAAATCACATGGTACATATATAATATAAATTACTTAACATTTTGGTAGTCTTAACTCTAGATTCTTTTGAAATAAGGATTTGATAATTAATTTATTAATTGTGTATCATCCTTTGTTTTCTTCTTTCATGAAGCAATGTCCATAAGAAAACGTCAAATCAATAGCGTCTCATCTTCCCTTCAATTAATAATTATATTAATTCTGTGTCGTTTGTTATAAATTAATGTGTAATTTTTATTACTTTAACCAAATCTTTACTAGGGAAATTCATAGGAAATATTCGATACTCCTCATTTCCAGAATACTTTTTTTATGCTCCGCAAAAATTTCTAACTCTGGCAATAACTAATCGAAATTTTACACCACCTATCAATCAGCATAAATTTAACGCATTTTTTTATGTTTCACTTTAAGCGCCTTACACACACATCATTATAAATAAGCCGGCTTTTAGGGTTCGTACAGATCTTGTTATTTTGAATCAGAGTTTATTGTCGTAGCGTTATGCTGAACCTTGTAAGTAATTACTGCAGTGCAAGTGAGAGAATTTTATTGGCATGCTCTATTTCAACAAAAATGAAATATATATATAAAAAAGGAAACAAAATTTTAAAAAACACAGTATTTTTCAAAAACTTATACTTGTTTTTATTTGCCTAAACATGACAGATTTCTATTTAACCTTTAATTGCTATGACAGTTTTTTCGGCGTAATTACTGTGAGCGGTCTCACAGGCCGCTTTAAAGAAACGCGTAAAAATACATACTTTTATGCCTTTTTTAAGGAATGCTATAGATAATTAATGCATATTTATAGAATTCTAATTCATTTAAATCAATATATTTTAAACATTAATCATTTGATTTTACACAGTTAAATTCATATAAAAATATATTCATATAAAAATAAACAAAGGAAACAATCATATATAAAAATATGAACTCTGTTAATCAGTAATACGCTGAAACCTTTAACTGCTCACAGCATTTAAAGGTTAAAGTAATACAGAGCGATGAAAATAATTTTTAACTTTGTTACTCCTAAAAATAAACATTTAATCTGATTTTTATTTTTAACTTATTAAAATTAAAGAATTTTTTTCCCACTACCAAGAAACATAACACCTAGTCCAAATAAAATTAAATTGAGTGATATTATTTTTTTATTGACATAAAGTAATAAAATTAACGATATGCGTTTTTGCTTTTACGATTTGTAAAAATTCGTAATTTTTATTGATTATAGACAACAATAAAGTTTCGCTGCAAGAAACGTTTTTAGTTCTCAAGAAAAGAAATCCTTTAATGATAAACAAAAGTTAGATTTCAGATTTTCTAAATGTTGCAGGCTAATGTGTATGTTGTTGGTTTCCTTAGATCAGGGTTTTTTAAACTTTTTTTCAGTCGCGACCTCATTTTATCACTGAGATATTTTTGCGACCCCTAGGACAACGTAATATTTACAAAACATTTGTGGGTATTGCGCAAATCCGATACACGCGTGAATGAAACTGTCAATTTTTTTACTTAGTCACCTATTTAGAAGTACTGTAGTATACTATTGCAGTTTTAGGTCATTAACTTTAATTTCTAATTTTAAGACATAGAACAGTGTGAAAATTTCAAATAAGTAACAGACGACATGACTGCCGGCACGTGCAAAGCAAGTAAAATGAACGTTTATATTATAAAAAGAATGCGTCGAAACGTTTTTTTTTTTTATCTGTATTGTCTTATCTTTATCTATTTTCAGATACATTGTGTAAAAATATTTGGTAATTGTAAAATTATTATAATAAGTTAAAGAAATATCAAAACCGTTAAAATGTTTGGCGACCCACAGTTTAATAAACCCTGCCCTAGATTAACGCAATAGCTTCTTAAAAATATGCAATATTTATAACCTTTTTTATAACATTTAAATCAACGAAAAGTTTAAAACTGATAACTGAATTAGCAAAAGCTTAATTTTATTTTTCCTGAAAAGGTCATCCAGCAATTCGGATATCTGTAGTTCAGCTAATCGGGCTTCTATTGTTTGCTTTAAATTTTGAGTCTGATGATCATTCTCAGATTATTGCGTCTACTATGCATTATAAACAAAATATTTACCTTAAAATTAGGGTTAATTTATTCGATTATGGCAAAGCGCACAAGTGCTACGACTTTAGGCTTAAAATTTGATGACTTATGGATCCGAACCACGACGTCGTTCAACCTGTTTAGAACTATGTAAGGATTGTTCCAAAGTGACCGCAGTTTAGGAGAAAATAATTTCAGTCGAATCAGATTCCATAACTGCACTTTGTCATCTTCGTTCAATCGATGTCCTATAGATCTCGTGTCGCATCGAGTCTTCACCCTTGTGCAAAATTGTGCATCACTTCCAACCATGCTTGCAGATTTTAAATGTACTACTCAGGCGATGAAGGCGCATCCTGAAGGCGACCAAATAGTAGATCACAGACGAAGCTCACTACCGAACAGCATCTGATATCGTAGTATAGTAGATAACACTGCGATAAGCCAATAAGAACAGAGGTAACTTCTAGACCCAGTCCTATTGGTTTCTAGAAACCATCAGCGAGAGGTTGAATGGCCTGATTACACAGCTCCTACATACTGTCTGATTGCGGATGTAAAAATCTCGTTTGGATTTTGTCGATGCCGAGTAGCTTGCAGAGTTCTTTCATCATAGCCTATGTAAAAATTTCTTCCTTGATTGGAATGTAACTGAAGAGGCACTGCGAAGCCTGGAAAATCCAATCTGTACCACTGCCTTTGACAGCCTCTTGATCAGGAATAGGACACGCTTTAGGTCCCCTAGTGAGATAATCAATGACAACAAGGATGTATTTGTTGCCATTAGCAATGCGTGGCACAGGTCGTAGGATATTAAAGGTCGTAGGATCAAAAGGTTCTTCTACATTGTGACGCTGCAGCTTCCCTCGTCTGCGTTTCTTGGGCTTTTTCGGACCCGCAGCGTCGCATGATTGGCACTACTTCAGCAAATCAGCCCTTCCATTATTGCAGTAAAAGCGTTCTCGAATTCTATGCACAGGCTTCATTATTCCGAAGAGGCCTCCTGTCGAGCTACTGTATTAGCTCTTTAAAGACGTCCGAGATATTAAAAGTATTTGCTGCCAAAATCAGAATGCCTTTCCATGATCCGATTCGAACTTCCGGTATAAGACGCCATTTCGAATTTGGAGTGAATCTGAGAGAGCCCATATTGTTTTGTCGTAGGATTATAGATCGAAATGTCCTGCCATGTAAGTTTTCTGTTTGAAGAGTCCATTAAACCGATTATGGGTCAATGTCGCCATCTTCCAACTGCGCTTTCCTGACTCCTTCGTCACTCCGTGGATCTCGATCAGCCGATGTTGAAATTGTAACTTGTGCAATCGGATTAAGCAGTTCGTATTTCGCTTTGACCCTTGAACAATATCGGTCGCTTTCTGAGCTGAGTCGTCTAGACAGCGCATCGGCATTCCCATGCGACGAACATTTTCTATGACGGATAGTTTCCTATGACGGATGCCATATTGCTGGAGTCTTTGTATCTATCTCTCTGTCTATTTGGCTTTCGAGATTCTTGAAATTTAATAGCCAGATCAATTGATGCATGATCTGCACTGAACAGTAAATTTTCTGCCGTAGAGGTAATGGTGGAAATGTTCTAAGGCTTTAACTATGGCGAACAAATCTCTTCTGGTGACATAGTAATTCCTCTTCGGTTTAGATAGACACTTGCTCTAGAATGCTACGACACGTTCTTGACCTTTTATTTATTGGAACAAAACAACATCGACCCTCTCATTACTCACATCCGTGCTGATAATAAATGGTTTGTCGAGGCGAGGATACGTTAGGATTGCAGCAGATGTTAAAGCGCCCTTCACTTTGTTAAACGCATCTTCACATCCTTTGGTCCCCAAGTACGTTTACTTGTTCTCTATTAATTTGTGAATGGATCTTGCGATGGAAGAAAGTCCTTGACAAATGTCATATAGTAGGTGCAAAGCCCCAAGGTCGTAGGTCTTCTCAGTTAATGAATATTTTTGGGGTATATGCAGTCTTTACCAACGGAGACATTTTCTGGATCCGTACACAGTCCTTCGTCAGAGATGACTTATCCGAGGTAAATCACTTCCTGTTTCAATGATTTACTGGCACTAAACTTTAGATTTAAGTAGCACTAAACTTTAGATTGGCCTTCTTTCAGTTTCTGACACACCTGCCTAATATTTTCTAAATGTTCCTTCAAAACTTCCCGTCGATGATGATGTCATCCAGGTACATCAGACAAGCTTCGTAGGAAATACATCTCAACACTGTCTACATGAGGCGTTCGACTGTTACCGGCGCATTGTATAATCCATACGGCATCACCTTGAACTGCCAAAGTCCTTGTCCAGTAGTAAATGCGTCCTTTCTCTGTCATCGGGGTGTATGCCTACCTGTCAATATAGACCTTATTTCATACGTGTCAACGAAAATGATAACTTTTACGCCTTAGAATTATGATAATAGTGACAGCTAAACCATCTTGTGAACGCTACCTAACAAGCCGCGAGACAACGATACATTAAGATAGTCTGGAGCACTAGAAACAATTTTTTTCTTCAGGGCTCCTAGTGCTAGTTTTTCTTGATTTCGGCAGCGGGGAAAAAGGATTATGAGATAAAATAAGACAAAGGATTATGAATTTAGAAGTTGATTTTTATTATTCATCACCCTAGGCGCGAGTCTTGTGGCCTAAACAATCATCAGGTACTGCATGAAGTTCATGATGTCCATCTCTGGAAACAAGAGAAATTTCAACAAACAGTTTAGGACTTTCTTCCAATTCAAACAGTAGAGAAATTTGGTTCTCAAATTGAAGCCGTAGAGCTTGGTGGGAATAGTCCTTAGTTTCATAATGTATTTCAAATGGTACAGAATTCGAAAGCACTACATTTCAACTAAAATATCCGAGCAGCATAGTAATTAACAGAGGCAAATTCTCAGTTAGTACGAGCTAATTTACAGAAAAAGGAAGCCTTTCAGAGTCGTTTTGAAAAGAATATAGTTTAGTAATTTTGCATATTTAATAGCATAGTTTCTTTTGAATCTTTTTCTGTTGTTACCTCATTAACAAAATAATTTTGTTTTGGGATAAGCTCAGCCATATTTTGTACAAATTATATGCAATTTAGCAAAGGTGATATTTCGAGCATTAAGTCTTTTATTAAGTCTGACATTTCTAATAAACCTGAGACTTGCTTTACAAGAGAAATAACTGAGCTGGAACACTGTACGGGTACCTGAAAAATCCGGGAAGTTAAAATTTTTATTCATTCAATTTTATCTGTAGTCCACTAAAAATTCATTGTAAGGTAGGTAACGAAATTTTATTTTGTCGCATAACTTATTTTGCTCCAAAAAAGATTACGCGATTAAATATATTCATTAAGTAAAATTTTAAAAAAATATCACTAAGGGAGTTTGATATCGAGTTAGTCTACGTTTCCCCCATACTTTCCGTTATCCAAAGAAAGTGAGGCACATATTCAGTACGCTTTCGCTTTACCTGAATGTTGCATGAATAATAAAACTTCAGACTCATACTGTGATTTACTTCGTAACAATGTCATCCTATCTTCTTCTCCAAATGGAATCTTTTTTTTTCCCATAAAAAATTGAGAAATATCGACGCTTAATTAATTAAAAAAATAGTGCTCAAATTTAGCTACTGTCGTGCTTTGGTTGAATTTAAGCACGGATTTTGTTGTTTATGTCATACTACAAATGTTTCGAAATCCTTCATATATGTTCTTTCAAAGATAAAATTAAAGTAATTTATTGCACTTTAATTACAAATCTTCCTTTACAGTTCATAACTTAGAACCACATGATTTGGGTATTCTCTGCTCAACAGAGGCTGAAGAATTTCAGCCTTTTATGTTGGCTTATTTTAAAACTCAACCTGAGCGAGTACACGTGAGAACTAAGAGAGCACTAAGCAAGAAGCAACGAAAGACAAAGAACCTCAATCCTTATACAGGTAAATATTGTTTTTATTTGTACAATCTTATTTTGCAGAAAATGAATAAGGTAAACTATAAGTTCGGATGGTCTATTGTGAAAAATTTAATTTCTCTTTAAATTATTAACTAAGTGTGTACATGTTCTAAATATTTAACTTCCTTAACAAGAAACATCTGATAGTTTCTAAGTTACTCATAGTTATCTATTTAATCGTATTTCATTCCAGTTTACTTTTCAAATATTTTTTCAGAAATTTATGTGGAGGAAGGTGTTGTTAACAAAGTGTATCAGAATTCAAAAGACAATATATATATAACCATCGATTAATTCTTTATAGGTGACGTAAAATTAAGATCTTCGTTGATTTGCTTTGATTGATTAAAATAAATTTTAGTATTTTGCAATTAAAAAAATATTGTTACAAAATGCATGCACAAAGTTTAATAATATGCATTATTATTCATTTTTAACCCAAAAAAGATTTTAGTCCCAAATGGGATATTAATTACGAAACGGTATTTTGCACTGAATCACTATAAACGGCTTATAACTTTTCAAACTGTTGCCACCAAATACTATTGCCCTGTAATTATATTTAAAGAAATTAAACAATGAAGAATCTGCATGAATGTATGCATGTTTCTCGCATTGTGGAAAAACAAGGTACCTAGAGCCAAAGAACGTCTATATAAAGAAGGAAAGGCTCCATAGATGTAATGGATTTGGATTTGGATTATTCAGTTATGGCAAAGCACACGAGGGCTATCTGCCTAAAGGGAGGGATGCCTTCCGTGGAGGACTTTCTAAGGGAAACTGGCTCGTATACACGTTACACATGGGGAAAACCACGAAAACGCCCATGCAGCCAGCCCGTTCGCGGGATTCGAACCTCAGACCGAACTACCAGTGTTCAGCGTCTTTACGGCTCGGCCGCTGGTGGTCCCCATAGATGTAATGTAAACCAGTTTGTCTTCTACGCCGCTAAAAAGAAGAGGGAAAATTCGCCAAGGGATTTGGCGACGGAACCTGTTTGCGAGAATTTCCCCCTCTATGATGTAGTGGACCTGGCCGACATTTTCCTCCTCCGTCACGTGTATAGGAAATTGAGGAACACGGATTAAGATGAATAAGAAAATTAGGTGAAATTTCAGTTTCACTGGCTGTTGAACTTGCATTATCCATATCGTAGTTTTGATGTCTGATTTTATATATCCGTAAATATGGAGGGGGGTAAATGGAGTCACACAGCTTTAAAATCTTAATAAACGAGAACGTCGACATCAGCCTCGAGTTTTGGCGCTTTTTGGCGACAGATATTTTACGCATGCGCAGCTGTTTCCCTTTTCGTTCGAAGGGTGCCTCTCCTGTTGCTGCGAAGCTTTCCTTCTTAACAATACATATTCTTTGCCTAGAGCCATCAAATTTCGAACAACGTAGTCTTGCACCAGCACGTGGCACCTGGAAACCCGTATTTTGAATTTCAAATTGTTTTATTGTTGTTGTTGTCGTGTCCATTACATGGAACAATGCTTGCCAAAGCGTACTCCGAAGAGAGATTGGACTTTTATTTTGCTTCCCCAATTTTGAGGAAGAGTACCCCAGGGGTCTCCCAGCCCTCTCCACTCCAACCAATCCACACGAGAGGACTTTCGGCTCGCCGCATATTTAGAGTGCCGCCATGCCGCACCGACACTATACATTTATGAACACCCATGTCTTCTCCGGGATTCGAACCAGGGCCCTTCGGTACCGTAGTAGGCTTCCCTAACCACTATACAGTCTGTGCGACAAGCACGATGATGACAATATTACTGTTGCTATTACACAGTTTAATAATAGCGTGAGGAAAGAGCCTTGGTTCAGTTATTAACGAATTTCCCAACTAGGATTTCTGATCTGAAGGAAAATCGTTCATTGTGAACTGCTTTCCGAGATGTTTCGCGAAGACATCAGTCGTTTCAACATCAGTAATATATGATTGGGGGGTTCATCAACACCTGGTCAGGGGCGTGGTCAGTGATGTCACAGTGGCAGCGTCATCAGTGACGTCACAGAAGAGAGCGTGATCACATCATGGAGGTAGGAAAGGGAGGAGGGGCCAACCCGCGCTAAAAGTGAAACACTGCTTTGAAGCTTGGGTCACCAGATGGGGTGTTCAGGGTTGCCACGCTACCTGGAAAACCGGGAGAACCGGGAAAAATCAGGGAATTCGAAAATTGACCAAAAAATTCAGGGAAAAGTCAGGGAATTTAAGTATTTTTGTCAAAATCTGAAAAAGTCAGGGAAGTTCATACAATGATCCCGCCAAAAAAAGCGATTTTTGCCGACGTCGGAAAGATAACTTTTTTGCGAATTGCGTATCACGTGAGTGTCATTCGGGCAGCGGCATAGAGCCAATTTCGCAGCTCCAATTTGATTGTCTTTAGAAAGGCAAAGCAAGTTTCCCGCAACTTGGTTTCCATAATCTCGAGAATAGCATGTGCAGTGCATGAACTAAAGAAAGTACCTGTTCTCGTATAAAACAAAATTATACGAGAACAAAATGGTTTAATCTTAGTATACGGTACCATGGAGTTAGAATCAAAGAATATGTATGTAAAGAAGGAAAACCTCTCTGCAACAGACGTGGCTCCGTTCCTCAGAGGGAAACAGCTGTGCATGCGTGATATTCTGCCGCCAAAGCTGGAAACCGGTGTCGAAGTCGAAGGTCACGTTATCAGAGTTCATTAAATGAATATCCTTTAAAATTTCTTTAACCACTTGCGCTAAAAAGACGTGCCAGGCACGTCGAGATTTTGTCTCAAACTGCGAGGACGTGAACACCACGTCGATAAGCATTTATCGCAAAAATGAAAATAACATGGTGCACACGTCGCCTAACAACGAGATTGTTTATTTTTCGAGTTACAGCTCTGGATTGCACTCGCAGATGCGCAGCGGCGTAAATGAGACACTTTACGCTTGCTATATTGTAGCGCACGGCACCGCAACCGTGAAGTTTAGTCTTAGCGTAAGTGGTTAAACTCTAAAGGAAAAGAAAATATTTTTGGCGCAAGTAAATTAATTCATGGGTTAGTAATTTTCAGGGGGGGGACTACGAACATCTGTTTTTAAAATTATTGCGACAAATCTAAGAAGAAACGTCCTTTGATAAAACCTTTCTTTCCTTTTCCTTTTATAAATTTCCTTTTCGCAATAATTTAAAAACTGATTTTCGTAGCTTTCTTTTTGTCAAAGAACGTTTCTTCTTAACGTGTTTCTCAATTTCCGGTACACATCGCGGAGAGGGAAATTCTGGCCGCCAGGTTCCGTCGCCAAATCCCTTGGCATATTTTCCCTCCGCATTCTAGCGGCATAATAGCATTTTACTTGTATGGAACCTTTTCTTCTTTACATAGACCAAAGAATCAGAGATTCTTTGCATAGACGTTCTTTGGTTAGAATAATCTCCATGTATGGTACAATGGGATTTGGCGACATGATGATGCGCAGTAAACGGGTCATTTTGGTCTTGGCGACAATTTTCAAAATCGTGCCAAAGCCTTACCGTATACTAGAATTTTACCGCAAAATCTTTTTAAACTTTTTTTTTTCTTTTTAATAAATACGTGCATTTTGCAGTAAAATAAAAAAATAGTAATCTGTCATCTAGGCTAACCTGTAATATAACTATATTCGCTAAAATATCGCTGATTATTCTAATTCAATTTTTAGGTAATTATCTTTATTTTTATGTTATTCGTATAATTTAATGATGCTTCTTCCCTCTAAATTTATTTATTATTAGTAAATAATATTTCCAAATTTCAGGAAAATTTTCTCTGGCATAATCTTGAAATTAATTCTAGCAGTATGATGACATACCATCACGAAATTTAATGCACATATTTTTTCCTTATGTATGCTGCGAAATAAATATAAAATACCTCAATTTATTAAAATAGATTTCTTTCTTTCGTTTAGCTGCAGAATGTCTGCAAAAAAGCCTTATTTATTCCAGATTGGAAGATTCTAATCTCAATCTTCAATGGAGAAAACAACAACTATTATAATTATATTGTGTTTTCAAGTGTTAAGGTGCTTTTTAAGAACATACCTCACACAAATTAAATTTACCTAAAATCTAACCTAACTATTTAGCATTGCATTGTGATTTATAAGGACCGGATTAGCCTCGGTTGAACTGGTGATGATCATGAGTAATAATTAAATAAAACATACATTTGTTATCCAATTTATATATCTTAAATTTATTAAGTTTCTTAGTGGAAAAGTAAACAAAATTATCAAACAAAGTATACCAAGAATAATTAAGAATAAATGTCCTTTGGGATTTATTGAATAATTAAGTGAATTTGCTACACAATACAAGTAATACCATAATTAATTTACCTCTTAGCGTAGCCAAAGTACATTACGCGAATAGACTGGAATTTTCTTGAAACACACCTGGAAAACCTGGAAAAGTCAGGGAATTTCATTCTCCTGTTTGAGTGTCAACCCTGGGTGTTCTTTGTTCAGAAGCTCGCTTGACAAGATTCTGATAGTATTTCGACACACGACAGTTCCATAGAAATCGAAAAAGGGACACTTTCGCATGAAAGAAACATTCATAGTGTGATGGATAATAGCAATTTGTATAGTTTAGTGACATTTACGCAAAAATCACATCTTGGTTATTTTACGATAACTAACAACAGCGATTTTGATTATGAATTTGTTTCATAAAATTATAAGCTGTTGCACTACAAAAATATAGATTTTAAGAAAAATGTTATGCTTAAAGAATGAAAAATACCTTACGGTACATTTAAAATTGTATACGTATTTCGATACCCTTGATAGAGTATTCGCTACTTTTATTTTCCAAACGTCAAAATGTTTTAAATAAAACAATTTTTTTTCACATTCATATATTATTATAACATGTACCTTTTAAAATTTTTTTAGAGGAGAGGCTTTACTGCTGCTCATTTTAAACCCATCGTTTTACTTTTATATATCTGAAAAATAATC